CAACTTATTGATCGACATTCAGCACTACAAACGTCGCATAAGGAAGATTCCGACCGCATTCCATTCACTCTCACGTTTCACCCTCACAACCACTCAGTTAAATCCATCATTCTTAAAAACTTTAAATTACTTCAAAACGATCCAGAGACAAGCACTATCTTTTCGCAGCCTCCGCTCATTTCATTCAAACGCGACAAAAACATAGGCAATTTTTTGGTCAGAAGTTCTTTTCAGACTAATGACCAACCAGGCACTTTTAAATGCGCTCGTGCACGATGCAAAACGTGTCCTTTCATTCACAACACTGATAAAATATCGGGACCTAAACGATCCATTAAGATCACCGATCACTTCACGTGCACCTCCGCCAATGTAATCTATTGCATAACTTGCACTTATTGCAAAAAGATATACATCGGCGAAACAGGCAGAAGACTAGGTGACCGATTCCGAGAACACCTTCGAGACGTGGAAAGGAATGACAAGGACACATCGAAACCAGTCGCTAGACATTTTAATTTACCTAATCATTCTAAGCAACATATGGCAATCTGCGGTCTTTCCTTACACTTAGGTAGCACGGAAAGCCGTAAAACTCTTGAACAAAAGCTCATCTTTCAAACCGGCAGTCTAAATCCCACAGGGATCAACGAACGCTTTTCATTCCACTAATTTATTCGTGTTTTTCTCGTTGCCATGTTCCCACCAATAACGTAGCTCCATTTTCTGCCTTTAAAAGCACACACAACCCACAATTCCTCTATTCGCTCCGACGAAGGGCTAACGCTCGAAACGTCAGCTTTTGTAATCGTTACGGTGGCCAATTTACCATTTCAACTTTGTTGATATATCCAAATTATTACACTGTTAAAAACAACTGCTTTGCCGCGTTGTGGCCCAGTCCTCCCGGCGTCATATCAGGGGGGAGTTGTTGTTTTTTTTCTCGTCCTATCTCCAAGAGTTTTTCTCCGCTTTCTACAGTTTTACTCCCTCGACAAAAAACTAATAATGATACCAATCCCAATTTGACTCGGAAACTGTAGACGACCCTTTGCTCAGTCATCAATATTGTTTCCTTTTTTAAAGTTATTTCTAATCAGATCGACACAAGTAAAGATCCGTGCGACGATTTTTATGCGTACGCGTGTGGAGGATTCATCAAAACGCACCAGCTCAATGAAAATCAGAGTTCCATCGGTGGCTTTACAATCGTTAATGACGATAACATGAAAGTTTTGCAACAAGCGATGGTGAATGCCTCCGCCAAATACAACCAGGTTATACATATGTTCTCTTTGTTTAATAAACAACGGTCAGTTATTTTTGTAGCACTTCACTCTACGTCAATTTTTCACCCTTAAAAATATCAGGATTAATGTCGGTATCTGGGGAATTACGCACCTACCCGTTCCCTAACCCAAAAACAGTAAATTGATAACAAGTGAGGGTTAATGTTGGGTCAGGGAAGGGAAGGGTGAGTGCGAAATTGCTCAGATACTGTCACTGATCCAAAAAATCGAAGGCACCTCTTGGCTCGGAAGACTTCAAATCAGTTAACCCTCAGAGCTTAACGAATGAGTGAATAGCACTAACAGTCACCTGGATATTCGCTTAAACGACACCTACCGTTCAACTGCCTTTAAGTTTCGTCAGAGGGACTTTCCAATCACTGAAGGTTTTCCTAGCGGTCCTTGCGATTTGCACTGATTCAACGGAAACCTGTCACAGGCAGATCAATCTTTTTAATAATGATTTATATTAAGGACCAGTCAGAAAACTTGTTTGGCCTAGAAGGGGG